CTACTCAAGGACTATTACTAATAGTCCTCTGGTAGTGTAGCCAATTAAAATGCAGGATTTGCATTACTAGTTGGGTGATACTAATTTGTAATAGCATCTTTTAGGGATCAAAACGCCAGACCCAGATTGTTCTCCTTTAGGGGTTTACTGTAATTCAAATGCATTCTTGATCCTATCATTTGGGAATCCCTCCCTGGGCTTTTCTTTTAAATATATGACTGTAAATAGTACAAAAGGGCAGGGAAAAGATGTCCATGGTTCCTCTCTGGCTTTCGAAAACAAGTGCTTGGACCGGCAGCCAGTAGACCATCACATTAGAATCAACTGTTAATTATTTACGACATCAAGCAACTATTGTGGAGAAATGACATGTAACCTGAGGCAAACACTAAGTAATACTTGACAAGACAGTGTAAGAGGTATTCGCACATTCGTTACAAATCTTTATATCGACTGCTCGGCAACCTCATTTGTTGCTGTACGTGACCATATTAGCACTATACCAATGTCTATATGGCATAGCGAACCTGACAAGCCACGAATTAGAATTTATTATTAAATAAAGATAATTATACAACTAAAAAAACTGACAAAGGTTGTTATCTTCGTAAAGGCTGATCAGATCCACATGACTGATATATGCGTTTTTGAATGTTAATCATGGTTCAAATGGACTTGTCTAGATAATTATTAGCAAAGAAAAAATATTAAATTTTAATCATTAATTAATTTAGCTTGCCTCTTCAGTGAAATCTCTCATCAGATTTGTCCACATACTTGACACTTCAAACACCTTGCTGAAGACATCTCGCAGGGCAAGATTTTCTTCATTCTTGGCCCATTTTAACATTGCCATGGATGCTGCAGGGAATGGTAAGTAAAACAGGTACTAACTTCTTCTAAATACACTGGAGTCTGCACATATACTCACTTGATTTCTTATGCAATTTAACAGGCATATTGTGTAGTTTTTCTGCATTTAGGGGATAGCCACCTGTTATTTAATTGATACTTAGAAATGTCACTGAATTACAAGCAAAATTTACTTTAATTAAGGTATCACCAAAACAATAATCATTGAGGAAATAAATTGATTGACTGCTAGCAATTACAGCACATCTAATAAAAGAGGTGCTATTCAGATGAACATCAGTATGCTGAATTAATGAAGGGGGTTAAGATGATTCATAGATCTGGCATTTATCTGAACTTAGCTTCCTTGGACCCTACATTTAATCAAGAAACGAAAACTATCAGAATTATCTGATTCCTGAGAAGATCAAACGTTCAGTTTATTGTATAAAAATAGCATAGATATTCCTCACTTCTATCAGAACTCAACCAAAAAAGGATAAAATTTTGTAAGTGGCAATATCAGGATTAGTTAAAGATAGCTTCTTTTGTATCAATTAAGTCAACATCACCTCCTATTTCCCCTCCCCCTGAAAAAAACACTGGGAACAAAAAATCACCTTTGACATAATCCCAAATTTTCAGTTGTGAGTGGGCAGTAAAGCGGAATGATAACGCCAAAATAAACTATTTTGATCACAAAACCACAATATATAGCCATAAATATTGCCATGCATGTAAGTTCATCTGCCATTCCACACACTGTAATTGTCGTAATTAAATTAAGCTTTGAGCTTCGGTTGCAGTTGAACAATAATAAATTTTTGGAGAGAAAACATAAATTGTTGAAATAAAAAACCCTCGTTCTTGCTTTTTAAAGGTTTTTACTTCATTAAGGTACAAAAGTGCGCATGTAACAATATATTACAACTACATGTAAGCTCACTTACCATCCGCTTTGGCCATGACCACTTTCTGAAAATTCTCGTACACGACTTTCTCGTCAAAGATAAGCAAACCGAGCGAAACGTGGCCATCTCTCGAGTTTTTAACCTTGTTAGCAGCTCGACGGAAGATTCTTGCCATTCGTGTGTCTTTATTGCAGAGAAAATTGGCAAATATAAATGGTTTTCACGGACCCTCGTATGTTCACTTACTTGTTTAGCGGAAATGGTGGCTGCGCAATAGCCCAGTCGTTTATGCGCGTCAAGTGCCCAGCCGGAAGTAAGAAAACAACTAGAGCGGAAGGGAGGAAACAAGTGACGTAATCGCAACAACAAAAGCAAAACAAGCTGTGCGGGAATAAAATATATAACAAACGCAAAATGCGTTTACTTTCATTCGGTAATTCCCGGACATAACTTCAGGTTTAGTTTTTTTGACTCTGAGATTGTGTTGGACGGCAATAAGCCGCAGCATTACACAGCGCTTTCGCAGACTGTTTTATTTTTGGAATGTTAATAATCAGGAGCCCATCACGGGATAATCTGTGTGGCAGACTAAAAGAAGGGGAGCGGAGAAGGGGAATTCCCAAATTTTCTTTCTCCGCTCCGTTTTGTCCCTGCGGGGTGCACTTCTCCTATGTCCAGGGGGCGGAGACTGAAACTGCCAGAATTTCTACTTTGGAAAAACAAAACGTAGATTGCAGGACACAAAAACTGAACAGTTTAAAGCAATCACGAGTAGCTGTTGCAGACCACGTGACGTCAACTGGTCATGGTAAGTCTACATACGAGCCAAGTGGCCCATCAGGCGGGAGCTTATCCCGATTTCTGCAGCATGAAGCGACAAGGAGTATTTCTACTCCCCCTTGGATGGGATGCTAGTCCATTGCAGGGTTACCCCCAGCATTGAGTTCGCCGGCACCATTACCCCTGGGTGGAGAGAGGCACTGTGAGAGTAAAGTGTCTTGCCCAAGAACACAACTTTAGTTGTTACTTCTAAAGATGTATGTTGAAGGGATTACTATTTTTTTTACTAAATTACTGACTTACTAAAGTTTGATAAGCAGGATAAGACGCAACTTTTGGAAAAGTTTAAAAAAATTTTGCACATAGAGTTCAGAGCCACCTTAAATTTTCAAAACTTTACCGTACCGTTTTTGAATTATAAGCCCCTAAAGCTGCGATAAGGGATATTTCAGTAAGTCATACTGTTGCTATGGTAACCCATTGTGTTACGAAAATGATAACAACGTGTTCACCAAAGATTGGGCAGTTTTTTGATACCTAAATAGTAGCATCAAATGACAAAGATCCATCAAAATCTAAATGCTGGAAACTGTTTTGAGCCACCTTAAGCTACGATATAATTGCCAAAGGAAAAGAGTTTTTATATTCGATACGCTATATTTTTTGAATTAAATAAGACTAATGTAAGTTCCGGTTGCACAAACTTTATTTAGCGCCCTGAAAAGATATCATTCGCGGCAGCAGACTCACGTAAAGGTAAAGCAATTCGATCTGACCGATAAAGAAAGTGTCCTCGAATACTCTCATCCAAATGTATCAACATTACCATGTTTAGCACTGTTACCATTCGTCGTGTCGTCGTGTCGTCGTGTCTTCGCAGTCATTCGTGTGTTCGGGGCATCATTCGCGCCAAAAATTAATGCTTAAACTTCACACCGAGGACAATGTCTCTTCAGCTGAATATACTCTTTATTATGTCAACAAAACAACGACATGCTGAGTGAAAGAGAATTTTTTGTTGCCTATTTACAACGGCGCTGACTTATCCAGGTAACATGCCACTATATTTAAAATATATTCTTAGCTTTTATGGAGGAATAGATATTCCCGAAACTGAAGGGCAACCCAGGGTTGAGGAAGCATCAGGAAACTTCACCGGAATTAATTTTGGCTTGCGAAAGAGATGTAGTTTGTCCTTATACTACTGGCTATTTAACACTGATGTAAACAGGCATTAATGTAGTCATAATTAATGTTACCACAAAAGGTCATAGAATGGTAAAAAAAAA